GGGTGGCAGCCCAGCCACTATAAGGTCACCTACTGTGCAGTGCTCAGGTCTCTTGGATGCGATTAAGGCACCCTGGTCGTGGGCACCTGCAAGGAGCTGGCAGGACATCGAGCGTTTCTTGCTCCCCTGCTCGCGTGCTTATCTTGCCTCTCTCTCTCTCCCCTCCCGCCTGACCATCCCCATCACTGTCGTGCCTTCATCTATTATGATGGTTCTGGGGGGGGTGGAGGAGCGCCGCCGTCTTGGGCTTTCGTCGTGCTCCTGCTGCACCCGTCGGGGTCCTGGCATTTCGGAGGGTTCTTTGCAGGCACTCTCGACCTGGATGCCATGTCAATTTCTCGTGCTTTCGCCAGTATGGCCGCAGAGGCCGCGGCAATGCTTTGGGCCGTGGCCTGGGCCGTCCAGGCACAGTGTACTGACGCCAGCTTTCACGTTGACAATCTGTCGGTTGTCAGAGCAGCGTTCGGATATGGGGGGCTGCCCGACATTTCAGGTGTAGCTAGGTGTCTTCGGTCCCTCGTTCTCTCGTTACAGCAGGTTGCGATTGCATCCTTCAATCATGCGAAGGCGCATTTGGATGACCCCCTCAACGAAATGGCCGATACCCTGTGCGCTCTGGCTGCTCTGAAAATTGTGGAGCCCCCTCCGGTCTGCCCTTGGGAACGTTGGTTGGCAGACCCCCTCGCCGCATCGTGGGCCTGGCTCGAATTACTGGAAATCGAACGGCGGCAACAATTCCCGTCGATTTGCCAGGGTGACTTCATCTTAGTTAATGACGCGCCGAGCTTCGTGACGTCTGCCCCCCTCGGTCTTCCCCTCTCGGCCCAGAACGCGACCTGCCTTTTTCCAGGTCCTCCCAGCCTGGCGCCACCGCTTCATTGTCTCGTGATGTCGTGCCTCATGCTAGGTTATCGGTGCGGATGGCCTTTGCTAATATTTTGAGCTTGCGAGCCATAGGCAACGGCAAGAAAGCTCCTGTCGGGCTATATGTGGCAGGACGTCCTCGCATGCTGGCGGCTCAATTTGAAGCGGCCAAATTGCAGGTTGTGGGCACAGCGGAGTCTCGGGTCCCTCGGCAAGGATGGACTGACACCGGGAATTTTCTGGTCTTACATGGGCCAGCCACCCCCCAGGGGTCCCATGGGTGCTCGCTTTGGCTGAGGAAAGGGGCCCCTTTGGTGCCGTCCCTGGCGGATAGCACTGTCAAGAGGCATCTGGTTACAGTTGCACTTGCTGAGCCCACGATTTTGGTCGCCAATCTTGCTGTAGGCTCAGTGTCGTTGTCATTCATTGTTGGGCATGCACCGCATTCAAAGCACGACAAAGCAGATATCGAAGCATGGTGGTCTAGGTTTTCAGGGGTGGTTTCTAAAACCCTTGAGGCTACCCCGTTTACGTTTTTGCCCCTCGGCGCTAACGCTACCGTTGGCAGTATCCCCTCAGAACCTGTTGGCCCCATCGCTAGGGAAAACGAAAACCACAATGGTGCATGTTTTCACAAGTGTCTTAAAGATTGTGCATTCATGCTCCCAGCGACGTTCTCTGGTGACCCGCAGGCTTCTAAGACGTGGACTCCACCGCAGGGGCTTGTAGCCACGAGACGGATTGATTTCGTATATGTGCCAATGTCGCTGCGATCGTTTGCATGTGAACCCACCGTAAATAAAGCGGTCGAGCTTGCCATTGCCAGACCAGATCATGCGCTAGTGCAATTAGATTTCAGAATGCCCATTCCCGATTTGAGGCCATTCCAGGGGATCGTTTCCTCGAAGCCACGGCTGGATCGCGCTAAACTGGCAGATGCTACAGTTCAGGATGCGTTCGCCAAGTATATGGAACAGGCCCCCAAACCCCATTGGGCTGTCCCACCGTCCAAGCACTGTACTCAGGTCTCTGGATATGAACGACAGGGCATGCTACAGTTTTTCGAGTTAGATCAGAGCCAAAAAGATACTGGACTTTCAGGTGATGCTCGCCAGCAAGCGGCCGCGTTGCATAGGTCGCGGCGAGCCTTGTCTCAGATAAGAGGCCTTGCGGCGCATGTGTGGTCAAGGCTCGTCCTGCTCGCCTGGAGGCATTCGTGTGCCATCCCGCTCGGTTGTGGTTTTCGTTGTTCGGGCTCTGCCTCGGATTTCGTGGCCCCGTACCTTGCGCACTTGGCCTCTGGAGGTCAGCGGCTCATCGAGGCCGAACCAGTGTTCTTTAGCGGGCAAACCAATCGTCAGTTGATGGCACGAGTCCTCATGGCATGGAGGAACAGGATCGCGGCGCTTATTGCAGTGCGACATGATTCAGTCATGACAGGTCTTGCCCCCAGAGATGTGCACAATGTAGGCGCCGATGCGGGACGCATTCTCAAGCAGGTGTCTTCTGTCGTTAGGGTCGCGCTGCCTGCACGGTGGAAGCTACGACGCAAGAACACCTGCAATCGCAGACAGGCGGTTTCAGCGGACGTTGCAGCTGCCCCGTTTCTCATGTTTCCTCCAGGCCCCCCTGGGCTCCCGTATGGAGGGGAATCGCTGGCAGTTTCATTTCATTCCCTGTTGCGTTTGGCTCGGGCGCTCGCTTTGCGCGCCCCTGCGTTGCAATATTGGTCGTTGATGCCACAGGTGCAGCAAATTCATAATATCATTCGGATCGAAGCAAGTCGGAAGCTTCAGGACATTGCCAAATCCGTGGGAGACGCGCGGTCCACGCGTGACTTTGCTTCGGCCTTTTCGGCCCTCAGGCTCTTGGGAGCCTCGGGTAAAAGACATCGGCAGCACGAGGTGTTGCCAGCCATCCTAGGGCCTGACAATGAACTGCTGCCTACCGTCGCACAGGCACACGACCACTGGCTGCAGTATTTCGCAGCCCAGGAACTGGCGGCAGCGATGTCCCCTGACCTCTTCGAAACCGCCTGCGTTGACAAGGTGGGTGACTTGAACGGGGCTTCGAGGGACATTGCTAACATTCCCACGTTTGCTGAGTTTGAAAGAAGCCCTTCGGTCCACGGGTAATGGAGCTGCAGGCCCTGATGGGCTGCATGGCTCCTTTGTGAGAGCCTGTGCGGCCCCATTGGCGAAACCTTTTTTACCCTCTCGTTTTCAAAGCGGCTATGTTAGTTAGTGAACCTATTCAGTGGAAGGGGGGGGGCCTACCGCACATCCCCAAAGGAAAAGGCAACCCGTTTGCTGCCTCCTCCTCCCGTTCCATTCCGGTTGCCTCTCACATCGGTAAAAGATACCATGCGTGCTTGAGATCTCGGATGCTGCCCGCTGTGCAGGATGCTGTGGGATCGACCCAATACGCTGCCATTCCAGGTCGTGGAACTACCACGGCTATCTTGGCAGCGCGAGCGTTGCAGCGGCTGGCGATAGCACGCAAGATGTGCTTAGGATTTCTGTTCGTGGATGTAGCCAATGCCTTTTACACTGCCATCCGAGAGCTAGTCTTGGCCACCGATACCTCCAGGGATTCGCTTCGAAATCTTTTGGCGACTGCGGGCTTGCCAGAGGCATATTTACCTCTGCTTGAGCGACGGCTTCTTGACTTGCCGCTTCTTCGTCGCCACGGCTTGACAGATCACTTCGTTGGAATGGTTGAGGAGGCATTTCGTCTCGGCTGGTGCCAGGTCCCTGGTGCCGAGCGCGTGGCGATTACTTTTCGTGGCACACGCCCTGGTACCCCATTTGGGGATGCGGTGTTCATTTTCATCATTGCGGAAGTTACGGCTAATGTGTCTCGGATGCTCCAGGAAGAGGGGCTACTGCTTCAGGTTGAAACCCCCACCTCAGGCCTTTACTCTCCTCTCGCCCCTGACGACAAGGTCGACTTTCCCGGCCTTGTCTATGCTGATGATTCTGGGTTTGTGCTGATGGCCCCCATTGAAGTCTTCTTGCCTGCCTTGCCTTCCTTCTGTCGCATCGTGCTCAACGCCTTTGCCCCAGTAGGGCTCGTTCCCCACATGAAAGGTTGGTAAAACAGAATTGCGTCTGGATATCCGAGGGAGCGGGGCCGCCGACTTCAGGCGGGATCTTCTTCGCGGCCCGCCCCCATCCATACAGGTCCCTGGGTTAGTGCGTGGAGGAGAGTCAGTTTCAGTCGTTAGGTCTACGCTGTATCTTGGGAGCATGCTCGATGATAAGGCGTCGCTGGGCCCTGAGTTGGCCTATCGGGACCGAGAAGCGTCAGGAGCCATGCGAGCCCTTCGCCGTGCGGTTGCTAAGGCCCCGGGCAAGGACATGCCCCCCAAACTACACTTGCTCGACGCGTTGTCAGTCAACGCCGCCATGTATTCGGCAGGCACTTGGTACGAAATGACCAAGGCGGAGACGCTCAGATTGCAGACACAGTACATCCGTCGCTATCGTGGGCTCCTTAGCTTGCCTAGGTTTGAAGCAGGTGGACCAACTGATCTCGCTGTATTGGCCAGAGCGGCTCGACCGACCGTTAGTACGATCATTCGGGTATCCAGGTTGCGGCTCTTCGGCCAGATGTTGGTTTCGGCCCCTCGGCCTCTCCTCGCTTCGGTCAATGCGGAATTCGCTTACTCCCCCAAGTCCTGGCTTCATACCATTCGCGACGATGTAATGTGGCTGCGATCGGCCCATCATAGATTTAAAGAATTTGATCTCCCGAGTGCGGGCATGGACCCGTGGCTTGATGAGATTCGCAAGTCTCCTGGGGGATGGAAAAGATCGCTGCGAGTCGCCCCCCAGGCTTCAGCTTCGAGATTGCAGCGAGATGTGCAGGCCACGGAGTGGCAGCAGCGCACATTGGCAACGCTGACAGCGGGTGGATTGCCTCCTCGTCGTGACCTCCCTCCCCCTCGGGCGTCTGACAAATACCGCTGTCACTTTTGCCCTTGTGAGTTCTCAGAGTTGCGCTCGCTAGATGCGCACATCAGGCGGGAACATTTTACTTACACTGACCTCGCGCGTTCGCGCGTTGATTCGCCGTGGCGTGCGCGTTGTGTAAAAGTGTGCGCCAGTCGAGCATTATTGTTGCGACACATCACAGCATGGAAGCCCACTTGTCTTGTGTACTATCTCAAGCACGTGGCGCCTTTGCCACAGCAGGCGCGTGACGAGCTAGCTGCTGAGGAGCGGGCCCAAAATCGGGAGCGGCGTCACCAGGGGCATTCGGCCTCGAGGGGTCGGTTTCCGTCTTTCAGGGTTCCGGGCCCACTGCCACTTACGGCAGTTGCCGTCCAGGCAAACTATCCTCGGGCAGCGGCTCAAAAGTTTATAGCGGACCTAGTTGAGCAGATCACTGGGTGGTCCAGGCGATCTCTTGTGCCCCATGTTTTGGACGAGCCTGAGGTTGCGTGGGATCCCAACCCGTCGGAAATCGAGTGGCCGTTTGAGGCCTCGGCGTTTTCTGGTGTTCTGTGCGTCCAAATCCCAAAGCGCATTTTGCGCCGACAGGTCTTCGTTGCCAACCTTTTTTGTGGGCAGCGTAGGCCTGGCGACGTCCAGGAGGCCATTGAATTGGCCATGGCAAGATATACACCCTCTTTTGAATTAGCTGTGCTGTCGGTAGACATCCTGCTGGATAAAGAATTGGGCGACTTGCGCAAAAGGAGTTCTATTGATTGCTTTGCTGCACATATCAGAGCAGGGCGCACTGTCGCCCTTGGAGGGGGGCCCCCCTGTGAAACGTTTTGTGCAGCACGGTGGAGAGAGGGGGGCCCCCCTCCCCTCAGGAGTTGGCAGGCTCCGTGGGGCGTGACTGAGCTCACGCCACGACAGCAGTTACAGGTTGCCGTGTCCAATGATCTACTGCAGGCTATGGTGGAGCTCATGTGTATTATGGCAGTTTCTCAAGGGTGTGCGTGGATGGAACACCCGTCCCCCCCGTCGTGGGAGCCCCGTTCGGTACCCTCTTGGAGCGTGATGCCTCTTAAGGCTCTCATGGCGGCACCGTGTTCCACCTTTACCACCTTTGATCAATGCGACTTCGGTCAAAGCAGTAGAGCCCCCACAGCCCTGTTAGGAATTCGACTGCCCGAGCTCCCCACCTTGTTGCGTGACACCCCAGGCGGCGGCTATTGTTCCCATGGGCCCAGAGCCCACGAGGCGATGGTTGGGTGGGACAGCATTCTAAAGAGGTGGCGGACTGCGCCCAAGAAGGTATACCCGCCCGCCCTGTGCCAGGTCCTCGCTTCCTCTATGGTCAGGGCCTTGCTCCCCTCCCTCCTCGGACAGTCCCCCGTCCTGGGCCAGGCCAACGAGGAGGCTGAGGTGCAGGAGCTCCGCAGATTTTTTGTTGATTCTAACAATATGGCGTTGAATGCCCCAGTCATGGGGCCCGATTTTGCGGGTTTAGTCAAGTCCCCTCGCCCTCCGTCAGCATTGGCTCGTATCTCGGCGTCACTCGAGACGGAGTCAAGGGCCCACTTCCCCACAGAGGAGGAAGAGATTGAGGGCACGCACACGGTCGCGATGGCACATCTCGATGCCGACGAGACCGCGATCACCTCTTTCGGAGCGTGCCCCCCTACTTCACTGCCTATTCCTCCCCCCCTCCCTCCTCCTGCTCTCCCCCCTGATGTGCTGGCCAGGATTGCTTCCAATCGAGCTGCCGCCTTGAGGCGGCGAAGGGAACGCTCGGCCGATCGCAAACGTGTCCCCGTTCATCTTGAGGGCCTGTTTGGTCCGCCTCCGCCTCCGCCTCCTCCCCCCGAGTCGGTCCAGACGGACCTGCACCGGTGGTTTTCTTTGGCGATTTCATCTTCGTGAATCGGCCGAGCTGGTTATCATGTGGAGGGGGGGATGGGCATTGTTGGAGTGAATGGGTTGGTGGGAAGGCTGTTTGATGAGAGATCGTCTCGCTCGAGCTGCCGCCGTTTGAAGCGGCCTCGTTCACGTGTGCGTGTGGCGTTTGCGTGTGCTGCGCCCTGGCATCCTCCCTAACCTCGTTCCGTGGGGGGTGGATGGTTAATACGAGGTGGCGGGTACTCTCCCTCCCCCCGACGGCGACGCGGCGGCGATGGCGGCCCCCCGCGCCCGCCGCGCCCGCCGCAGACGCGCCGCAGGATCGGCTACTGCTCCCTCCTCAGACCCTTCTACGGCGTTTAGGCCGGGGAGGTAGAGGCAGAGGAATGAGGTTCATGCGCCTGGATCCTCCGTTTTTTGATTTTGAGGTATTATTTTTACCCGTTTATCCTTGGGTTTAGTGCCCTTCTGAGTCTTTCTCTGCTGGCCCACACTTGGACCTCTGGGCTGTAGCCTTTGTGCTTCACCCCCCCGGTAGCCTTCTCTCGAGGAGCTTTCGAGGACTGCCTGACCTGACCTCCTCCTCCTCCTCCTCCTCCTCCTCCTCCTCCTCCTCCTCCCTCCTCCTCCTCCTCCTCCTCCTCCTCCTCCCCCTCCTCCTCCTCCTCCTCCTCCTGCTCCTCCTCCTCCTCCTCCTCCTCCTCCTCCTCCTCCTCCTCCTCCTCCTCCTCCTCTCCTCCTCCACCTCCTCCTCCTCCTCCTCCTCCTCCTCCTCCTCCTCCTCCTCCTCCTCCCTCTCCTC